CGCTTACGAGCGACATGTCTCTGAAGGATGAGTCGGGTGTGGGGCGACCGGTTTGTTGCCAGCGCAAGGGCCGTCGTGCAGCTCGAGAACTGCACGCTGGTGAAGAAGACAGAACACGTCCGCGTGCGTGCCCTTGGCGTGGAGGAGACGCCTTGTCCACGTCGTGGACGCTTTGCGCGTGACCAGCGATCTGTCGCCGTGTACGTGGCATGCGCGCACACGGCTTCAGCTTGCGGTCTTGCCAGGACTATCGTAGGTTTTCTGTCTGCTTCGTCGAAGAGTTCGTGTGTTAAGTGAAATCCGTTGTCAGTTTGCGCCCCGCCTCCGCCAGGCGCGGCGTGTGGCTCACCACCACTGCTGGCAGCCCCGTGTACGCGGCGCGCAAGAACTGCAGCGCCAAGATCACTCCCGACACGCAGCTGCGCAAGAAGTCTTATAGCGGTTGCTCCTCGGAGCCTGCAGACAAGCCAACAGTCCTGGCCAACGTGACCTTGGCAGACTTCACTGGCCAGCTGGAGTGCGTGCTTGCTTGCTGCGGCTTTCTGGCCTGAAGTGGCGCGCGTTGTTCAGGAGGAAGGCCTCAGCGGGTGTGTTTTGATCTTGGCGACCGCGCCTCGCATGACCCAGGCGCGCGCGGGATCACAGAGCGCTGCGCCGGGGACACAAGCCACACAAGAAGCCGGCGCCCAAGCTCCAGCATCCACGCAGCCAGGAGACGCGGAAGCCAGCCAGCAGGCTCCAAGTCCCAAGTTACCTTGGCTTTTTAAGCTAAGATGTCTTCGGCCACTTGCGCTTGTTGGCCCCCGTAAGGCCGTGGAACGGCCGCGGGAAACGAAGGGCCGTTACTACGCCGTGAAAAAGCGGTGAAAACTCGTGAAATTTCACGCTGAGTCATCTTGTCCTCACGACACCAGAAACCTCCGTAGCTCATACGGCCTAAGTAACTCGCAAATCAGAGCCTCCTGGCAGTTTCAGGCTGCGGCGGCCTATGGTTCAGAAGATCTTGCGCCTCCGCAAGCCAAAGACCTGAGGGCTCCGTCTTGCCCATCGAAGATCCCACGAGAGGAAGTTCTCCAACCTCGGCGTTCTCGTCTCCAAGTCGCAGGTCTTCGTGGATTACGTGTGCGTGCTGGCGCGCGCGGAGGGCGAGCCACGCGTAGAAGAAGTTGGCGAAGGCGACCAGAAGCAGTTGCTCGTGAGACATCAGGAAGAGAATCCGGCCCTGCCGGCAAACGAATCCGACAGTGCTTTTGTCGCGGGGGGTGTCTGTAGCTTCTAGCAATGCCACATCTTCATCATGGGCAGACGAGCAGCGGAATAACGCCACCAACCAAGTCACTGTGACAACCAGCTGGACCTTTTGCGCCAGGAGCGCTTTTTCTGCTGGGAACTGGCAGCCCTGCTGCTCCGGAAAGGAGCGCCTTGTGGATCTGACTCAGCTGCCTGCGCGGGCTTGGCGGATGTGAAAACAGTAAAAGTGGGCCCTCTTCCACGTCGGCTTCATGTGCTTGCGAACAACATGATTCGCCTTCATAGCCTAATCTTGCGTGACACCTTGCTCGTGGAGGCCACCTTTCTGTGTGGCTTAGTTCCTTTTTGTGTGCAGATGGCGAGCCCTGCTTGGAACTGGCAAGCTGACGAAGACGCGCAAGAGTTCACTGGGAACATGAAGCTTCTCATCTAGCACTCCTGGAAATCGGTATGGTGGACAGAAACTGACTGGACTACTGACAGCTTCCACTACAACCTTGGGGCATCGCCGTGAAAGTTTTGGAGCAAGTTGGGGAATGTGTACTTGGGGAGCTTGAAGGCGGCTTGCAAACTAGAGGAGCTTGCGTTCGCATCATCGTGGTGTTGTGCATGTGCTTGGACGACATGTCAATGAAGGGAGCGCCGCCAGACTGGAGAGCGCGCTTCAGAAAGCATGGTGTCTCCCACGTCAGGTCTGCGCCAAACTTTGAGCACAGGGCGATCGCACTCTTCGATGCTTGCGTGACTGCCTGCAGCAAGCTGCGCAGGCTTCGGCAAGAACTTGCTCAAGCTGGAGAGCCTTGCAATGTCTTGATTCACTGCGTTGGGGCATCAATCGAAGCCCCGCTATGCTCTGCGCGTGGCTCCTTGTGGCGCGCGGCGTGACCGCGGAGCTTCTTCCTTGCGGCCGTGGAGAGGGCGCGACTATGCCCTGCGGGCGCTGAAGATGTTGGCTCACGATGGTACAAATGTGGAAGCGCGATGTTTTCTGCTCACAGCCACACGCGCTGACGAGCTCTCGCGCTTCTGCGGCTGACGCGGTCTGCGCGGAGCCGCGCGGCGAGCTATAGAATGGAAAAAGGGAAGCAGACACACGAACATGAACCCAACACTCACTTTCCATCATGCTTTCGGCCACCCGCGGTTCTATCGTTTCTCTGTTTTATTTTTTGATTGCCTGACTGACTGACTGACTGAATGACTGACTGACTGACTGACTGACTGACTGACTGGTTGGTTTCTTGGTTGTCTGGTTTGTTGGTTGGCTGGTTGACTTATGGCGCTGATGATGGTAATATCGATGTTGATGTTGGTGAGGAAGAAGAAGATGATGATGACGGCGGTGACGATGATGGTGATGATGATGATGATGATGATGATGGAGCAGCAGCGATGCTGAACACGATGCGCGTGGTTGTGTTGCTGCGACTGATGCTGCTCATGGTCACTATCATGAGGCTGACCGTGCAACTGCTGGTCACGATGATGATAAGGATGAGGGACGTGGATCAGGATGGTTAATCCCTTCTTCTCTTGGGAACCGTGGTCTATTGGCTAAACCACTTTTAGTTTGGCTGTGTGTCAAGGTATAAGGTATGGGTCCAGAACATTCACGAGGCGGGTTGCGCGCACGATCCACACCTCCGTCCACACACGCACGGTTCACACATGCGACCCATGCCTCCAGAACCTTACATGACCCCTACCAGAGACCCGCACCTCACGCTCGTTTTTCTTCTTTGATGTTGACGCTTGCTGCTGCTACTACTACTACCACTACTACTACTACTGGTCAGTTGCGTTTGATGGCAGAAATCGGGTCTGACCCACCGTGGCCATTGCCCCGCCACAATGCAGGAAATACCTCACGCAGAGGATCCCCGAGATCTGCGAGGTCGATGTCTCGGACCCGGATGATTTGATCGACGAAGGCCGCGGAAGGGTTTGGGAAACTCGCAGAAGTGGGAGACAAGAATGCAAATGGCCCGGGTGTTTCATAATGAGATTCTGTGTTTGTGTCACGGTCAAGCGCTTCTTCCCTTTATGATTTGCTACTCCCCAGTGTTTGCAGAGCGTTGAGAGCTAAGAAAATTCGGGGGGCCAAGCAAGAACGACTATCCCATCTCCACGTGCAGCGGTCCAGACAGCGCATTATCGCAACGAGGAGTACAAAGATTTCCTCGAAACAACACTAGAACATCTAGAAGAGAGCAGCGCAAGCTGTAAATGTTAACTCAGTTCTGCATGGAGGGCGCCAGAAGCAGCATATAGAAACCGTTTCTGGACATGTCCGTTCATTTGTGTGAACTTGTCAGAATTGAAGCATTTTGGGCTCCCAAAGGTTCTTCATCATGGAAGCAAATCACCACTTGCTTGACCATGGATGGCATTTGCTTGTTGCAAAATCCATTGATGTGTCACCGCCAGGGCGAGACCGCGAAGGAAAGTTCTACCACCGAGCCCTGTCCGCAGTGGGGTCTGAGACAAGTCCGCGGGGTAAACATGGGGCGCCAGTGCCGGCTGGAATCAACGCCATCCCTTTTTTTGTTTGGGTTGCGTCTGCTCTTTTGTTTGCCTTATTTGCGCAGCTGGCCATATTGATCGTGATAGGCCCTTTTCAGGACATCCTTCCTTGCGTGCTTTTTTTTGCTGAAGCGGGTGCCCTTGAAAAGGGGACTCCTGATTGGCCCCCCGCACCTTCCACTTATTCCACATCTCACATGAGCGTGCGTGGGCGGGTTTGGTAGGACGAGTGGTTCCAACGCCCGCCTTACACTCCCGCGCAGATCACCGCTAGCGTCGCTATGGGAAATGAGGGCGCAGATCGCCCAGCCCAAGCTAGGGATGCGCCGTGCCGTAGGCAAAGGAAGTTGCGAAACATGCTGATTGTTCCTGTTGGCAGCAACTGGGCGATCGAACGGCGAAGGGGGCCGGTTCGCCAAAGCTTGCTACCTGATGCCAAGGATTTGCGGGACAAGGTGAAACGCTTTCGCAAGGTGTTCACCTTTTCTTTCCTGAAGAACTGATGTTTGAGTCAAGCGGCGCACCAGGATTTGGAATTAGTTGAGACCGTCAATGGCAAGATTGTCCTACGTGTGGAATGTTGGCCGTGGTTGATGCGCACTATGCCAAACTGCCCTCACACATGGGAGCACAACCAGATCCCAAACCCATTTTAAACCAAGCCAAAACCAGCCTTGCGCCCACAAAACAGATCCTGATCCCACCCCAAACCTCCAGAACAAAGGCGCTGAAGTGGAAAACTCCCCAGCAAAATGTACCCACATTTCGGGAAGGAAGGCCCCCTCCCCGAACACAAAAGTTGCGAAGTTGTCAGCTATGCGCAGCTCCTCGCGAAGGTTCCAATTTTTCCCGAGCCGCGGTGTCACGCGGGCCGGAGCAGCGCAGACCCGAGTTGCATGGACCAAAAGGCTGCGCCAGTAGCAGCGGCTGCCGGTGGTTGAGATTAGAAGCGCTTGCGATTGAGTCTGGCGCCTAACCGTCAAGAGCAGCTGATAGGAAAGGTCCCGCTTTGACTTGCAGAAAAAGTATTCAAAGTGCAAGTTTCCAAGCAACGGAGACCCTAACGATAACCTTGTCGTGCAGGTGAAGCATCTGGGGTTCGCAAGAGTTTAGTCGGCTTGGGGAGGGTACTTTTCGGGGAAGGTTGCCTAAAAGCAAGAAATATGTGTAGGTTTGTGTTGTTTAGGGCAGCGATCCATGTTAGGGTCAACCCAGACCATGCGCAGGCGGCCCTCCTTCCAAGCCAGCCGCCGGGAGCCGGGCGTGGAGGCGGACGGACGGGACACGAAGGAAGGGAGACAGATTGGCTTCAAAGGTGTCAGACCTGGCGCCCCAGATTCTCCACTAAAAGCAGTAGACCCAGCCAGTTCGCGCCCCAGCTGGTGTTCTCGCCGCCAAACATGGCTCCCTCACGGATTCCCCCTTGAGCCGGCCATCCAATATCGCAGCCTGTTTGTTTGATGACTGTTGGTTGCAATTGCAGGGCACTCGGGCGCCTACACCGTGAACAGACAAATTCCAAGTCCGACCATTTTGGCAATCACTGTTGCTGCAAGCGCGTGGCCTCCAACACGATGAACATTTTCCTGTGAGACCCTAAGCCACTGCAACGCACGGCTTGCTTTTCGACAATCAAACCTCGGCCCCATCGCAAGGCTTCTAAATTCCCCTTCCGGGTGACTTCAACATCACCTTTAAGCCGTGTTAAAGTACGTTTCCTGCCGGCGGGGTGATGTTCAAAACCGCAAACCCTCGGCTGCTGCAAGTTGCTGGCGGGAGCCCAAATCTTGAAAAAGCACCGTTGAAAGTGAACCACAGCAAGCTGCCCACAATCGTCGAAGCCAAGGCATGATCTTTGTTCATTGTTCTTTGGCTGCCACAAGAAGAACGTGCCAAAACCCCGAACTCCCAAACCCCAAGCCTCCAAAGCCCCAACCCCCTCACTTTGTAAACAGGGGGGCCCAAGTGGCCCCGGATGAACACTTCGTAGGTATGGTGGATCTACTCCGACGCAGAATGAATATATAAAGTAAGAGGGAAATGCGGTCTTGTTTGGCAGGCGGATTGCATCATGAGTGGAATACTGTGAATCAAGCGCGCAAACAAGCGAGGAACGAAACAGACGCAAATTTCCTTCCACTCATGTCATCACTAATTCATATGAGAATACTGCCATAGAGTGATTTCATCACTTGGCTCAAGGAGCCTAGAAGATGCGGAATAGTGCTGTGTTTGCGATTTGGATTTTTCCGTAGCCAATTAAACACTGGAGTACCTCTTGCGTTTCATCGCTGCCTCGGATGCGTTGCTGCCCTCATGGAGAACATCGAGGTTTGCGAGGAGAGGATGGTGCCAGTCTGAATCGCCCTTGCCTATTTTCTGCGTTTTCGCCTTGAGAGTTCTAAGAACAAAAGAATCATGGTCTCCGAACTGCCAAAAGGTTCTTCACTTGCCAGATCTTCATACCGAAGCCAACTACTGTAACACGGCCGTCGCACGCTGGAGGCAATTTTGCGTCCATCGAAAGGTTGGCGGTCTCCATGGGAACTCGCGCTGTTATGACGGCTTCCGAGGAAAGCGGGTTGTTCTGTCCAATAGAAATCCTTTTCGCTCGACATCCTGTTTTCGGAGAACCCGCTCCGCTACCAACATTGAGGTTGTAAATAGGGGACCCAGGTGGCCCCGGAATGAACGTATCGTAGGTCCCTGGTAGATCCACTCCGAAGCAGAACGAATTTGCGACGTAAGTAAATGACAAACTATGTATGTAAGCAGAGCTTGATTCCCATTAGGAACAAAGTGCCTCAACACCACAAGTCAGCAAAGCGGTCTTGTTTTTCCTCTCTGTGAGAGTTACAAGTTACCAGGCCTTGGGCCAAATAAGTGGCAGGCAGCTTGCATCATGAGTGGAATACAGAACAAGCAAGGAACACCTCCCTTTTCCCCAGCCCCAAACCCAAAACCCCACACGCATGGGAGCGCAACCTCGAGGCCTATGACGCAGCGCTGAACCAGGGCGGCTTCTTCAGCCTCAGCAAGGGCCGTGGGTGTGTGTGTGTGTCTGTTGCGCCCAAAGCTTCTCCAATCCGTCAAGACTTCACGTGTGCGGTTTTCATGGCTGGACTCGTTTGTGGGAAAGGTGGCTTTTTGTCCCCGAAAGCATTGCGAAGGGTTCTTCCGGTAAAATCGCCAGCCTTACCACACAGCCAAACTTGCGCGAGCCAACTTGCACGAGGCAACTTGCACGAGGCAACTTGCACGAGCCAAGGGCAATAACATCGCGCCGCCAAACTTGCACGAGCCAACCTTGCGAGAGAAATCGCACAGCCAAACTTGCACGAGCCAACTTGCGCGAGAAATCACACAGCCAAACTTGTGCGAGAAATCGCACCGCCAAACTTGCACGCGCCGACTTGCGCGGGAAAGATGGTGCAGACACACTTGCGCAAGCCAACTTGCGCAACAATTTGCCGCCCCGCCAAACTTGCACGAGCCGACTCCCACGAGAAAGATCGCGCAGCCAAACTTGCGCCAGCCAACTTGCGCGAGAAATCGCACAGCCAAAGCTTGCGCGCGCCAACTTGCGCGAGAAACCACACAGCCAAGCTTTCACGAGCCAACTTGCACGAGAAATCGCGCAGCCAAACTCGCGCGCCAACTTGCGCTAGAAAGATCGCGCAGCCAAACTTGCACGTGCCAACTTTCATTACCGGACCGCCACACTTGCACGACCCAACTTGCGCGAGAAATCGCACAGTCAAACATGCGCGAGCTAACTTGCGCGAGAAATCGCGCAGCCAATCTTGCACGAGCCAACTTGCACGGGAGCTCGCGCGGCAAAAAAACTTACACAAAACAACTTGCGCGCAGCCAAACTTGCGCGTGCCAACTTGAACCAAAAAGATCGCGCCGCCAAACTTGCAGCTTGCGCAATACTTTGTCGCGCCGCCAAACTTGCGCGAACCAACCTGCGCGAGCCAAGTACAACAGTTCATCGCGCTGCCAAGCTTGCACGAGCCAACTTGCGCCAGAAATCGCACAGCCAAACTTGCACGAGCCAACTTGCGCGAGAAATCGCACAGCCAAACTTGCACGAGCCAACTTGCGCGAGAAATCACACAGCCAAACTTGCACGAGCCAACCTGCACGAAAAATCGCGCAGCCAAACTTGCGCGGGCCAACTTGCACAAGAATTCGCACTGCCAAACTTGCGCGAGCCAACTTGCACGAGAAAGATCGCGCGGCCAAACTTGCATGCGTGAGAAATCGCACAGCCAAAAGACTGTGGACTTATCACGAAGTCTGCGGTGTTCGCGCGATTGCGCCGCTTCAAGTTTGAATCCTGCTTGGTCTCCGCGGCTTCTAAGTCGGAAGTTCAGCAGCTCGAAGCCGCGACGACCCTTTCTGCACTTTTGTCGAACACAAAGGTATTTCCCAAAGCGCGGAAACAGAACGCCCGCAGAGCGCAGAGCGCGGAACTAGCGTTGCGTTGCCTGCGCGCTGCCAAAGCGCAAAGCAAATTTTCTGCCTTGCTTAAACAGGGCGAGGAGCGCAGGAGTGTTGCCACGGTTCAGTATGTCTTTGTCGTGTCGGAACAGGTCAGCGAGAGCAAGACTTCATTGGACACAGCAAACACGGCAGCTCAACATGCACGGGGTGACTTTTACTTGCCAGGGCTACAGGAATCAAAAGCTCCAACTCCGCTACTCCGCCCTTCCGGCGTAGCAAAACGCAAAAACCCGAAGGAAAACACAAGTTTTCACAAGTGCTGCGAGGAACATGATGGGCCGGAGTTTCAGTTTTGCTGGCAGGAACAGGACGGCGCGCCGATTGCCCACAAGTGAATAAACAATACTATATTATACCGGGATGGCTCACCCCGCCCACCGCGCCAAGAAAGGCTTCAACGCAAAAGTTGTAGAAGTCTGGGGCGGGGGGGGGGGTTGGGTCTTTTTAATATGTTCAACAGCTCTACATAAAATCAATAAGCCCAGCGCCAAGATGCTCGAAAGTCCTTGTTGAACTCTTGCTCAACTTGAAGTTTGTCCCAGCAGGTCAGCAAACTAGTTGTCACACAAGCGACACGACAGTACGCGCCGCCTTCACACAAATGACAAACTCCCCCAAAAAAGCCGGCCTCACACAACACAAAATCTCGAACCTTGCCCTCAACAGCCTAAAGCAAGGGAAAGCACCTACCTCAGCCTCAAACTTGTTGCAAGGGAAAGCACCTACCTCAGCCTCAAACTTGTTAGAAGGCCGCAAGCCGCTGCAAAACACAGATCAAGCTAAACTTTACGAAGGGGAACGAGCAAGCGAAAGCCAGACGCTGAAAATGACAAAACTCAGCAAAACCCGACAAAAACCAACAAACGCCTCAAACAACGCAAGAACGTTAAAAACGCAGAACTGGTCCAAGAGGACGAAGCTCTTGACAATCTGTTCCCCCACTGTTTCCCAACAAAACTGGAAATCAAAACAACATCGAAAGCTGCGACGCAGATGCCCAGCAACATCCGGACACACCTTCTCAGCATTGGTGGGCGCGAAGAGATGCGAGCGATTTTTGACGGGACAAATCGCAGCGCGGCTTCCTTGCATGCTTTTCCTTTTGTCCAGGAGCTTTGGAGTTGTGTGTGTGTGTGCCGCAGTTTGGCTTTTCTGCGCGGCAACACCATCGCTACTGCGGGGGGAGATCAGCTTCTGCCACTTCTGGTCACGGCCCAGAGTGGACTTTGCCTGGCCAAGTGGTTTTTGCTATGGAGGGCCTTCCTTTGTTTGCGCGAAGTACAATTTCGCAGCTTCGGCTGGAAAATCGCTAGTACGAAAGTATTATGCGATTAGGTAGAAAAGTATTGCATGCTGTACACTTTCAGAGGGCTTCGGCTGGCAAATAGCAGTGTTAAACGACGGACGTATTACGCGAAGTACGCTTTGCAGGGCTGGATGGACAGTTAGAATCACGGTCGAAAGGTTGCTGTATTGTGGCCAGCGCGATGGGCTATACAAATATGCAACTGCCACAGGGAAGCAACCACACACACAACGAAACCAACACTGACTTTCCAGTATGCTTTCGCGCCACCCGTGGCTCTATTTTATGGAAGGCGGAAGGCTGTCACAGTCAGAGTCATAGGTGAGCAGCGGAGGTGTCAGTCACTAACACCAGTGAACAGGAGGCGCCAGCAACTTGCTTGTTGGCCTGCGCGCTGACCGCCCGTGAGGCTCCATCTCCCCGCAGTCGCAGCTTCATCCGCAGGAGCCCGACGCAGGCCAGCTGTCATGTTGGTCTTTCTCCGAAAGACGGTTCAATCCCGACCTGTAGCCTTCACGGGCTTCTAAGGCCTGTTTGGAAACGCTTGCTACTGAGAGACTCGACTTGTCGTGTTAAGCAAGAACACATGTTCTTGTTCACTCCCCCTGGCTTCAGCGCATGTCGGAGGAACTGTGCATGAAGCGGGGTGTCTCGAACATAGACAGGTGGAGATCGGTGTTTACATTTGCTGAGGGTCTTTGCCTGGCCCATGTGACCATTTTCTAAGCTGGGACATGGTTTTTGAATAGTGCTACAAGAGAAGAAAAAGATAGACAAATGCTGTCTATAGGTGATCTAGGCTTGCTTTCTGGTTTGGGCCAGGTAGATGTTGGAAGCAACCCATCAACAGTAGCAAGGTCAAGCCGCCGCTGCAATCGTTCCTTTCAGGCAAGCTTGAACACGCGGAGATTGAACCGTGGCGAGTTCGATCACTTGGTTTGCGCAGAACACAAAGATCAATGCCATTTGGGCATCCCTCGCAAATCAGATGCACCTCGAAGCCCGTTCCTAGGTCCCGGCGTATCCCCAAATCTCACTAACTGGACCCCCGCTCTTGCAGCGGGGGCTTCTGGAAAGCAGCATGTAGCACCAACATGTTGACAGTTTGTATGCTTGGTGTGGAAATAGTTTTGTTTCTAATAGTGCATGAGCGTGACAAAGTTTAGTAGGCCGTTGGAGAATGGTTGTATCTTCTAAGAGAGAAACTTCGTTATCTAAAGGTTTGACCTTCAGGAATCTGAGAAGGATATGTGCCATCTCCTGACAGAATGAAAAAGGATAGGCCTGAGCGAGCGTGCGACTGCTTTGAATCTTGGTGTTGCCTTCAAGTGGCTGATGCGGGTGCTTCTCCTTTCCTAGGTAATTTCTGAATATTGGTCTCATGACTTCTTTAGGAAGGTTATGCATGAGACTTGTTGGTTTCAAACTTCCAAGTTTGGAGTTTTAGTGTCAGGATCACGGAGGCCAAATGCACAAGACTCAAGTTCATTCCACGTGACCTATGGCCATATTTTGGATCTCTGAGGATTCTCGACTATGAAATAGAGTCCTCGGTTTTCTGCAAGAGTCTTCGGATCATTGATCTTTTGCATGATGGACCTGGGTTCGCAGACTGGTGCAAGCCACGCAACGTCCGGCTGTTTCTCACGGATAATGCGCAGTACCATTTGACGTCCTTTTGACGTCATTGACGTCATCATGCCGAAGCCATTTCGAATATCGATCGGTGCGGCGAATTGCAAACTTGTTAGAGCGCAACACTGACTAAGGCGAGCGCTGCCTGCGAACACTTCTAAAACATGGGTCTTACTTGTAGTCAGGCAGTTCCAATTGGCAAATTGGGCCTCGCAAGTATGGTCTTCTGTGTCAATGCCTGCGGACTCAGGTTGATCCGTGGCTGTGTTTTTGCTTATCCGCTTGGTCGGCCCCTGTCTTGCGGTAGCTCTTTAAGCAGGTCATCCTCGAAGGATGGCAGTTCAGGTTTAGATGGCGGGTTGGTTCCATTCTTCCTCAACTTGGTGATGTTGACCTTGAGTAACCTGGTTCCAAGGTCTATGCCGGCCATAGTGGCATCTGTGGAGATTACCGTGCCTTTTTAGCCAAATTCCTCCTTGGAATCGTCAGGTTTGATCTTGGACTTATCTTCATTCCAGCACAATACTCTTTCGCCAAGTACGGTTGGCTTGGAACGAAGGTAACATGCCACTCTTCTTCCGTTTTTGGAATAGTGCGTGCGGTGGTGTTGCTACGTCCAGTTGGACAAGTTTTGCAGGCCTGCGCCCGAATGCTAGTTCCAACGGGCGCACCGATCCCCGAAACAGTGAAACACACAATTGTGCGTGCTTGGAGCAAAGAATTTTGGTTCGTTTGGCGGTCCAGGCAACGCGATGGCTCGGAGCGCTGATATCTCCAGCCAGCCACACCTAGTCAATTCTTCCTCAGGGTTTTCGCGCGAGTTTGATGTGGCTGCTGCGAATGCCTTGTGGCATCGCTACGGGCGTTCTACCACCGTCAGAGGATGGGTCATTGGGCCAGAGCGCTGAGGAGGACGAGTTTGAGGCGCGCTAACGCAGTAGATCAGATGTCGTGGGTCACTGACAAGATCTCAACTGACATGTGTCGCGAGTCAGCTGTGACCAAGTTTGACAAATAACAAATCTACGAGTTGCCCTGCTGCACCAAGCTAGAGTTGGCCTGGACACACTGTTGCGAATGCACTGGGTAACTGGCTTTCGTTTTACAAGTGATGTGTTCCAGTGATGTGATGTTTGTTTTGTTGCTGTTATTGCAACGCGAAGAACGAAGACTACCTCATAATAAGAATCAGAACAACACTACACAACATATCGTGGTTTTAAAATCTTGCTGGGGGTGTGAGCCTGTGCGTGTGTGGCGTTCGTCTGTAGCAGTGAGTGATGGCTGTTGAGCAGCTGTGGGCCAACATCATTCGTCTGTTGAGCTGCGGGCCGTCTTCCGACCAGCTTTCAAGCTCGACTCCGCTTGCAGTTCGAGCTTGCGACTGGTTTGACGGCGCAACTTACTTTGCTTGCGTGAGCGTTCCATTTGTCTGCCCGGCAGTGAGCCTTCTGGAGTGGGCTGAGGTGCTTTCAAAGCCGAGGCTGGCTGTCCTTGCAAGCAGTGCTGCAACGCATTGCGCTGCCCACTTTGCCAGTTGCTCACTTGCCAAGTATGAAATACCAGTAGGTCCGGCGAAGCCGGAGGGTGGAAGATTCAAAATTTAAAAACTATAGTTCTCTGCCTCTTTCTGTTCTTGATTATTGATCTCATTCTTCTTCCTTTTCATTGTTTCTTGTCCGTCACGCTTTCTTTCTTCCTTCCTGTCTTTCCTTCGTCCCTTCTTTCATTCTTTCTTTCTTTGTTTGTTTTCTTTTACTGTTTTATTTTCCTTCTTTCCTTCTTTCCTTCTTTCCTTCTTGTCGCGCTGGTTGTTATTTTGTTTCTTTCCTTCTCTTTACCCATTGTTATTGTTTCTTTCTTTTTCTTGACAAAGCCCACGAGTGACCCTGGCTATGTAAAGGCTGTTTAGCCAGAATTTCAACATGACCTTATGTGGTCTTTTGGATTCCCTGGTTGGATTTCTGCGTAGGGTTGCAGATTCCCCGTTTTTTTCGAGAACCATGGGAAATTAGTAAGCCTCAAACACACACAAGGCACAAGTCAGGCAAGCAAAAGTTTCAACGTTTCGAGAAAAGCAACGCAGAGATGACACATATTAGCCCAGCATTTGGTGGAACCCAAAGGCAACAACAAGAGCCAAACAGCCACGCGCAGCAGCAGAGCTCCCAAAACGACCTAGCCCTCCACAACTGACAACATTATTAGCAGCAGCCAAACCAGCAGCAGACACAGCAACAAACACCACTACCACTACCGCTATTTCTGCTACAAAAACTACTGCTACTACAAGGACTACTAAACCGCTACTACAATTGCTGCTGCTACTGTTGCTGCTGCTACTGCTACTACTACATCTACATCTGCGTCTGCATCTACATTTTCCATCGCCGCCACCACCACCACCACCACTACTACCACTACTACTACTACTACTACTACTACTACTACTACTACTACTACTACCGCTACTACTACTACTACTACCACTACTACTACTACTACTACTACTACTACTACTACTACTATTACTACTGCGACTGCGTCCAGTACGACTGCTGCTGCTGCTACTAGCCATACCACAACTTCTACAAGAATTGCTACTGCTACTTACTGGTGCTGCTGCTGCCTCGGCTCCAACACAAAGACACATGACGCAAGACAATTCGTGTTCCGAAACAACCGCCTGTCACAGGCCACAGACAAGTTGCCCGAGCCAATCGATTTGCCTGGCTTTTATATTTCAGAGCTGAGCAACTGTCCGTGCGTTGCGCCCGCCATCAATCAATACAATGGGCTCGGCTGCTCCAACATCATGAGTCAATAGCTAGCGCGCAAGCCGTGACATATGCGGTTGGCAACGCTTAAGGGGCAAAGGAGGCAGCGCTTGAGTGTCTACAAGCCGGTTAAGGCAGAGGCAAACACGCCTGCAAACACCTCGCGTACTCTTTATGGAGCCTGGAGCCATACTTTTCCTGCGCTGTTGTTTGCTTGCTCCAAGTGGCCTACGTTGGTGTGGCAAGCGCTGCAGGCGCACAAACGAGTGAACAAAAACCTGAAAGGCCAATTGCCTTGACTCCCAGTCAAGCCATAAACAGACGCCAGCGGGTGGCATGGGCAGTTCCGTGCTGAGCCTTTTAGACAATTGCCCGTGCACCCAGAACTGAAGGTGCTGGGTGGTGTGGACGGGGCCTCTTCTGTGGTGACAGTTGAGCTTGTGCTCGCGTTACACTCCGGGTCTGGCTCAACCTTGGCACGCTTGGAAGGCGGAGACAGTGGCTGGGTGTAATCAGTCTGGGTAAGAGTTGCAAGCGCCGTCTGATTGCGTGGGTCAGTTGGCCGTCCTCTGGCCGACGGGCCTCGCAATCATCTGCCGACTCTGGAGAAGTTGGCAATGTGTCATCTGGCCGGTCAGTATTTGTTGGGGGCATGGCGCTACCAACGCAACACTTTGCAAAACACCTTCTAAAAAGCCTGGCCGCGGTCAAGGCGTGCAAGCGAGGGCAGCCTCTCACACAGCTCGCGCAGAAACATGGCGGAGTCGTCAAAGCCAGCATGTTTGCAACATGGTTGGCTGTGCGACAACTATTGCGCTGGCGGCACTGCGCCAGAACGCGTATTTTTGATGACCCAAAGCTGGCTGACACTCAAGCAAGCCAGCCACTGCACAGTCAAAGAAACAGACCCACAAAGAAGAACGCCCTATGTTCATTTGAGAGTTGGCCCAAGGATGCTAAACGAGAGGCTAGACTGAAGTTAGCAAGGCGCCAGAGGCCTGCGCAGTGCAGCAGGGCTGTCTGTTGAAGCTGCTTTTCAGCACTT